CAGCAAAGAGTTATCATTTCATATTGCCATGAAATCACTTAATTCAGAGCTGATGGTGGGGGTTCTTTAATTAGGTTAGAAAATCTCACACATCTGCGCTTTAGAAGCCTCTGTCAAGCCAGCAAATTCAATCACATGGAAGCTGGTGTCCTCCAGCTATCAGACAATTGATTTTTGCAGGATTCTGCTCATATTTAGCTTAGGGGATATGCGATATGTTCATTCAGTTGTCAGTCAGTTTGCCTACATTTCATTAGGAGATCTGTTGTTTAAAATATATTCTTCAGTATTACAATTTTTTAAAAAAGAAGCAGCAGTGAAATTATTGGCACCAGACTGCAAAATGTGAAATAAATACAAACTTGGACTAATGCAAAAATACAGGTTGGTTTGAGTGGGAAGTACAGACTTAAATAAGGCCTGTAGGATTAAACCTATTTAATACAGACATGTACAGAATTACATGAGCATACGCACACAGAAACATACACCTCTACTTTCCCCCTCTTTTTCTGCCTCCCCCCATACTGTACAGATTAATCATCTCTGAGTCATTAAACTCTTTGGAACTGAAACTGGGTTCAGTTAAAAAAAAAAAAAAGATCAGGTTATGAATCATTATTTCTATAAATGACAGTAAATACAAGGGGACAGGTTTTCCTCAGTTAAAACAACGCAAGGTAAACATAACCTAAGGTGGTTGGGATGAGAGAGAAGAACCTGCTGCGAATAGTCTAATGAGGAAAGTTTGGGGCAAACCCCTTTTGAATCTGTGGTGTAAGTCTTACACAGAGAAGTGGTTCAATTTTTGACAACTTTAAATTCATGTAAATCGGAATTAATTCCCTAGCATTCAAAAGGAAATACTGTGCAATAACCTTAATCCAAAAAGCAACAATAGCCTTGGAAATTATTTGGTAGAATGGGATGCGTAGGCAGAATCTAAAATAATTGACTTCACCTAAAATTACTGATTTCAATATACAAAAATTTTGGTCCCCCCCTCTTTCACTAAAAATGAAAGTTTAAAAAAGCTACTATGTCATTTGTCTTCATGGAATATATAAACAGCACCTGCGAAAGTTGACATGCACTGTAATATTTCCTCAATGAACTACACCTGCACAGATCTGATTCCTTACAGTTTCAAAGCACCTTTTGAAATGTTTTCTCCTTATGGAATTTGATATTGATTTTCACGCTAAACACAACTAATACGTTGCTTAATATAGAATTCACACTTAATGGGACATCAGTCTTCCCTGCATAAAATGAATGGAGCCATTTTGGCAGCTCAGAAGCTTTTGCTGTTAAATAAGGTGGCAAGGTCATCTCAAACTTGGAGTACCAAACACTCATATAAATAAACTTAGCAATCGTTCAATGAATTATACATGAGAACTGCACAGTACATTGGATGTTTACATATTAAAAAGTGCCATAGAGATGGCTGTGAGAAAGCAGAAACACAGTACGTATTTTAAAGGCACGATGAACAGTAAGACCTTCTCCAGTATGTTTCTATTTTAAACTCGCTCAGCAACGTTGCTTAGGGCATCTACTTCCAGAGGCAGTTCACTCTTGAATGAAGAGCAGGGATTCAAAAACTTAAAGGCCACAGAGGAAAGCCTATAGAATCCTGAAATACGGGCATCAAAGTAGTAATGCTCCTACAGTCTTCAGCTTTGCCACACTATATCCCACTGTCTTACATAATAACTTGAATTCCTTTTTATAAGCCTGACATAGATGAAGATAAATAGAAATAATGCTTTGCTCCTTTCAGAGATTAAGCAGTATCCACAGCATGTGTTTTAACCAAGGCTAAAGACCCTGAGGTGATCTAAATGTAGGAAGTTCAGCTAATTATATCCCGTTTAAAAAACAAAATAAAACGAACAAAAAAGAAAAGAGTAAATGTTACTTCATTTGGTGAGGGCATTTCTTTTTCTGTTTTTCCCTCATGGTGTATACGCATCTGTGTGTGCGCGGGTGCGGGTGTGTATAAAATATATCCTAGGAAGAGAATGTTTGTTCCAGTTGAGGTGGTCTGTGAAATCAAGTAGATCAGATACTAACATGATTTGGCACCAAGGTATGGATGCATAGAGACATATCCACAGGATGTATGCATTACGAGATGATAAGAGACATTTACAACCTAGAATATAAGAGCAGGGCTGCCTCAAGTGACATCACCAGATCAATTGCAGCATCAACCAACTCAGATATATTATCCTGCACACCACTGCTTCCCTATCTCCTTTCCAGCCATTAGAAAAGCACTTGTGAGCACAAATATTATCGTATATTTTCAGATACACGCAAGGCACGCCATACCCAAAAGCAAACAAGAGTAACTGTGGGGTTTACGGACTGATCGAGACATTCATAATTTTTCTTTACAACAACAAAATTCATCTCCATAGAAACTGGGAAGCAAGAAACTACAGTAATAACACTAAAGTAAATGTCACATCAGGTTAGTCAGCAGAAGGCAGGAGAGGGGATTTTGCTTCAGTTAGAAACTAACAAGGACTGCTGCCGCTTTGGCTCTTCTGCAAAGGGTATCTATGCCAGAGAGAGACTCACTGATGTATTCCCAGTGCAAGACAATAAGGTGGTTTCCTGTTATTTCCAGTTAAATCTACTCGTAAGGTGGTCAGATCAATGGCATGTTTACTTACAGGCATTTGTTACAGCGAAGCTGTTAGCTGTTTCAATGTTGTCTACATGAGGAACCAAATTAAAAGGTGCTTCGGATGCATTGGGGCTGGTGTTATGAAGAAAAATTGCTAATCGAAAAGCAGTATATTCCTGATCTGTGTTCCTGATGAAGAGACCACCTACAAAAAACAGAAAAAAAGCAAAAAGCAAAGGAAGTAGGGTGAATTCTTTGCAAAGGAAGAAGGGTGAATTATTTGCAAGCTACTTACTACCTGGTAACACCAAGCAACTGTCTCTCCCAAGGCTGCACAGTAAAGCAAGTCCTAAGACTTTAATGGATAAGGAACTAATCATATTCATAATCACAACCGCTGCTTTTAAATCACTGTCTTCAATCGATTTTAACCTCCCTGATGCATTAATGCTTCTTTTCTGACTTCTCAGTTTCCAGCCTTTCATACACAAATACCCAGATTTGTCATGATTACAGTGACCTTTGAAAGTGTTTAGCCTCCATCTCCCTGATACCGAACACACTGGTAAATCAGCTACTCAGCAGCCTCTTACGTTAAGTGGCGGGCTGATTAAGGGGAATGATGCTTTCTGGATTAAAAAAAAAAAAAAAACAAAACAAACCAATCCGGTGTAGGTGCATAGAGACATATCCACAGGATGTATGCATTACGAGATGATAAGAGACATTTACAACCTAGAATATAAGAGCAGGGCTGCCTCAAGTGACATCACCAGATCAATTGCAGCATCAACCAACTCAGATATATTATCCTGCACACCACTGCTTCCCTATCTCCTTTCCAGCCATTAGAAAAGCACTTGTGAGCACAAATATTATCGTATATTTTCAGATACACGCAAGGCACGCCATACCCAAAAGCAAACAAGAGTAACTGTGGGGTTTACGGACTGATCGAGACATTCATAATTTTTCTTTACAACAACAAAATTCATCTCCATAGAAACTGGGAAGCAAGAAACTACAGTAATAACACTAAAGTAAATGTCACATCAGGTTAGTCAGCAGAAGGCAGGAGAGGGGATTTTGCTTCAGTTAGAAACTAACAAGGACTGCTGCCGCTTTGGCTCTTCTGCAAAGGGTATCTATGCCAGAGAGAGACTCACTGATGTATTCCCAGTGCAAGACAATAAGGTGGTTTCCTGTTATTTCCAGTTAAATCTACTCGTAAGGTGGTCAGATCAATGGCATGTTTACTTACAGGCATTTGTTACAGCGAAGCTGTTAGCTGTTTCAATGTTGTCTACATGAGGAACCAAATTAAAAGGTGCTTCGGATGCATTGGGGCTGGTGTTATGAAGAAAAATTGCTAATCGAAAAGCAGTATATTCCTGATCTGTGTTCCTGATGAAGAGACCACCTACAAAAAACAGAAAAAAAGCAAAAAGCAAAGGAAGTAGGGTGAATTCTTTGCAAAGGAAGAAGGGTGAATTATTTGCAAGCTACTTACTACCTGGTAACACCAAGCAACTGTCTCTCCCAAGGCTGCACAGTAAAGCAAGTCCTAAGACTTTAATGGATAAGGAACTAATCATATTCATAATCACAACCGCTGCTTTTAAATCACTGTCTTCAATCGATTTTAACCTCCCTGATGCATTAATGCTTCTTTTCTGACTTCTCAGTTTCCAGCCTTTCATACACAAATACCCAGATTTGTCATGATTACAGTGACCTTTGAAAGTGTTTAGCCTCCATCTCCCTGATACCGAACACACTGGTAAATCAGCTACTCAGCAGCCTCTTACGTTAAGTGGCGGGCTGGTTAAGGGGAATGATGCTTTCTGGGTTAAAAAAAAAAAAAAACAAAACAAACCAATCCGGTGTAGGATAATCTGCACCGAACAGGAATATAATGAACTTTGCTCCTCTGCAGCCATGTGCAGGCAGGGAGCAGCTCAGCCTTATTAGCAGCATCTTTACAAGTCCACGAGAAATGATGCAGTGATGGAGCTGAGCTGGAAAGAATTCAGATAGCTGCGTCCCATCCGAAACACGTCCGAAAGGAGGGAAGCAGGAGGCGATGGGAAAGGGGTGAGGAAGGGGCACAGGACTACACGGAGAGATCTACAAAATCCTGAACTTTCCAACTACGAGAAGGGAAAGAAGGGCAGCGTTGCCTTTTACCCCCCACCACTGCCGGCTACCGCAACCCCCGGCCCCCGTAACCTGCCACCCCTCCGGGAGCCGGGCAAAGGTGCCGGAGGGGGCTGAAGCAGCCCAGGGGCATCAGCCCCGAGCCCCTTCCTCCTCTACCGATCCCACCCAGCCCGGAGCCGGAATGAGTTCTGCAAAAGACAAGCATCCTCCCTACCGCAGGCGAACGCACGCACAGATCTATGTCCATGCACACACACACACGGAGGCATACATACATAAATACACGCGGATTTTTCGTGCAGGCAGGGAAATGGGCTGAGCGGTGGAGGAGAAATCTGCAAACTGCCTTCAGAGCATCCTTTCCAACTCACTTTGCAAAGGACTGAACCCCTGGACACACGCACGCAGCCCAATGCAGCGCTTACCTATTTGCACACTGCTAGGAAAAGCTCCCATTGCTAGTCCCCAAAAGCCAGAAAACAACAAGACAAGCTGTCTGCAAATTATCCTCATCTTCTCTTTTGCCTCTCTGTCTCGCCTTCTCCCGCTCGCTCGCTAGACGCTGCTCAGAGAGGCATTGAGGACGCGGTGGCTACAAACAAAATCAGGAATTTAAAAAAAAAAAAAAAAAAAAAAAAGGAAGGGGGAGAAAAAGAGAGGTTCCTTCCTTTCTTTTTCTTTTTTTTTTTTTTTTTTTTTTTTTTTTTTTTTTTAACCCCTTTCTTTTTTCTCCC